CTTCTTAGACGATGGCATACAAAAGCAGGACCCAAGATGCGGTAAATGATTCAATATTTGATGGAGTAGTAGCATTTAATAATTATGTGGAGTGGAGAACAACCATTCAAGTGCATAAATTATATTTTGGAAAAAACTTAATATATTTTGGAAAAACTTCCAAATAAATTATATTTGGAAATAAATGTTTACTGACTGTATATAATAAATTTAATCATTAATTGATTTAAATCCACGTTCGACATGGAAGTAAGTCGCAATGGCTTAGCATTTAAATTATTAATTAAAGCTCCATATTTTATTATTAAAAATATTGAATACTAACTAATAGAAAAGATAGAAATAATAAAAATTATCAGTTAAGGAATTTTCAAAAATACTGTTGAATGCCGTAAACGTATATTAGAAAGTTGTCACCGTTGTTAATTGTGTAAAATAATTAATTTTCATAGGCATTCCATAGATTACTCCATGCATAGACAATTTGAGTAGTCATGAACTAAAGGGAATCATGAGATACAACTTTCACAAACTTGCAAGTTGCGGATATCAAAGTATCCTAATGATTAAATAAATATTTATTTCTCAGTGAAGCGACCTCTAAATAATAGCTTGACCCAGAAATTATATTTCCTGGTGATATAAGCCCCAATGTATTCCCGCTGCCAGGCCGCAAAAACAAGAAATGTTAACAAAAACATAAAAGATAGGACATTAAACTTCGTTGAGGACCAGAGAGTGAAATTTTCGCTTGTCTTTTTGGATCCTGCGAATTGGACTATTGGCAGGGTTTGGACGTTCGGAGATGAGGTTTCATATAATTTTAAAGGCACGACATTGCTGATAAACATCATTAATTATCTAGTAAAAAGAACGGTTTAGCATGAACCTCTTCTTTTTTAATTTAGATTTCGAAATGACTTTAGTCCAAACGTAGGGTATTATGAAACAACTAAAACAGTACAACTTGAATTTTGTAAGAAAATATTTTCTACGTCCTGACGAATCCGATATTTTGTAAGTTGACAGCTAGAGACTCACTCTTGACGATGAGAGCCTCAGCTATCGAGAGTATATTGCACCAAAATCGTCATGCGGTGCATCAAAATCATCCACAATACTTCAATTTAAGTTATAGTCAATTATATGAATCACATGAATATGAATAGCAATAAGAGAAGCACGCTTAAACATGTCACTTAACAGAAGTTATATTAAGTACCAACACATAAATCCAGGCGGTGAAAACTAAATCTCGATGATAAAACTTGTTATCAAGGCGAGACCCGCGTGTATGCCTGCTGCCTGTTGGATGAGCGCGTAACATCCAGGGCCTATATACTCTCAAAAAATTTAAGAGATCGTAAGTTCATCAGCAAATCATGACAGCCTTTCAAGCAATATCCACCAATCATAGACAAGAAAATAGAGCGTAAGTACTTACGTTCACTTGGCAAATTTTGAAAGAATGGCCCCATGTGTAATATGCTAACGACTCGTTATCCCACGATACGTCGCTTGTTAGTTGTATGTACCGTCTATCAAACTGTTTTTCACGAGTCTATGAAATTCTGCCTACAGTGGTTGTAAATATGATTGGAACTGTTACTATACATTCGAATTCCAGTTATAAATTTGCGTCGTTTCAAACATTGCCATGTTTTATGGAAATTTCAAAAATGTATCCCCTAATAATTTGTAATTTTTCGAAAATAACCCAAGTTAAAAATGACACTTCGATTTGACAATCCCAAATCCTAATGGCAAAAATCCTAATGGTACAATGGAAAAAAGCACATAATCACAAAAAAATGAGCAGCTTGGTAACTTACGACAAGGTCTCGGACAATTTTAGGCCGGACTCGTGGCGGTCTCGCGGCCGGTCTCACGGCCAATCTCCAAATTAAGTGTCCAAGAAATATCTCCCAAACTAATGAACGCAGCTCGATGAAATTTGGTACACGTATTCATGAACGGTGGTGTTTAGGTCGTGAAAAGTTTGTCCGTTTCAGTTTCATTCGTGAATTATACGGCAATTCGGGCCGAAATTTGTAGTGACAAAGAAATTTATTCGAAACTACTGAACAGATTTAAACGAAACTTTGAATATACAAACCTAACCTCCCAACGGTGATGTTTAGCTCGTGACATTTTTTTTCGATTTTACTCTCGTTTGCGAGTATACGTATACGGCTCTTTGTCAATGCAAATTTGAAGAGGGCCCTCAGAAATGCCGGTCGTGTCTCTGTTTATCCGTATAACTCACGAACGAAGACAAAATCGGAACATTTTTCGCGAGCTAAACGTCACCGTTGGGAAGTTAGGAATGTATATTCAAAGTTTCGTTCAAATCTTTTTTGTAGTTTAGAAGAAATTTCTTGGTCACTACAAATTTCGGCCCGAATTGCTCTATACCTCCCGAATGAAGGTGAAATGGAAAATTTTTTAACGAGCTAAACATCACCGTTAGATCCTGACGACCTAGTGGTACACACTATTAGGTCGTGTACCAAGTTTCATCTAGCTACGTTCATTAGTTAGTGAGATATTCCTTGGTCATTGAATCTGGAGATTTGGCCGCGAGTCCGTCCGTAAATTTGTCCGACACTTGCTTCATTGTTATTATTTATTCGGGGTTATTTGTTGGCAGTGCACTTTTCTTTTGAAGTCTTGTAACGAATTCCGCTTCACATTGTTGAGGAAATAGATTTAATTTGTTGTTGTTTATATTAATTTTAAGTTGTATCGTATTAGGTTTAGGATTTTGTTTTATCATTTTCAGTTTTCAATCACCTTAGCCGTGACCTCCCGCAGTCGGGCGTTACAAATACGTTTGCATCGCGTGATCTTGCCGTGAAGGTTCGTTAATCGATAGCTCTATGATTATAATTGTGATTGTTCAATTCTAGTGTAAATCGTTTCGTGTCATATTAGTCAATAGTGTCAATTTTAATTGTTTATTATAACATTCATTATTTTAGCTAGGCATTTCGTGAACGTACTTGGATCTTTTGAGGAAGGCCTCGAGCTCTGAAGTTCTCGTTTTTTTGGACTTGAATCTTATGCTATGAATTAAATTTTAAGTGCATTGGAACGCACGGTTAGGGTCAGGTTCTTACGGTTAGGCTCGTTCCAGTGAGTTAGGATTAGGTTATTAGGTTTGTTTATTCTTCCAGCTGTTATGACCAGGACTTGAACGGTGCTTCCCTTTAGACTCTTGAGGATTGCTGCTCTGCTAGTGGGTTCGATTTCGGCTCGAAGCAACAGGTAGCTGCTGTCGCCGATTCATACCATATGAGACCTAGCACGCAGATTCCCTGCAACTGTATGGGTTTGATCCCAGCTACCTGCGACAGTTCTGGTCGGGTGGCCGAGCGGTCAATATACATATATCATATTAGCGATGTCGGCGACGAAGAATAGGCCGGATGTGGCCTGTCTCCGATTCCGATTCTTGTACTTTTCATGACCTGTCCGAAGCCTATCTAGAAACGTGTTTTTCGTCCGGATATTTTCCAAACTGACGATAGTTTGAAATAGCTACTAGACTTACATCAGGTTCGATATGGTGCTGGGCATTTCAAGTCTAAATATATTTTCCTCCTAAGCTTTATCTAGTCTGTTCCTGACCGCGTTCATGATCGCAGCGCCAACGATGTAATCGGGGTGTAATGTTGTCGCATGGATGTGCTACAAAGCAGTTTTCTACCTTGTAGCCGTGGCCCCTGGTGTTCATTCTTGTTTCAAATTCTAGTAATCCTGCTGGGACCTTGTGTATGTACATCGCAGCTGTGAATGTTCTGCGATGGTATGAATCTGCGATACGTCTAATGGATCTAATAAACGCTTACACTGTTATTATTACATCGATATTCGTTCCCGACTCGGCTTTCTTAATTTAATTACAAGATTTTTCATAGAGAGAAATTATGTGCGACAAATCGAAAAATAAGTGAATTTTGTATTTTAAATCGCTAGCACTATTTCATACTGAATTTAACTGAATTAATTGTCCATTTATAGTATCTCGTTGAAAATATATGCAGTATCAACATTTATCATCAAGGAAGTGAAAGATAGTCTTTGGTCTAATTCTAAGCGGGACACAAAACTCCTAACGAAATATTTTGCTAAAATAACTCTATTTTTGGTTGAGTTTGGGTTAAGCTAGGTTGGACTCGGTGGAATAATTGCATTGCTATATCCCATCTTATCGCTCTATGACGAGTGTACCCACAGTACGAACAAGGCTAGTTAGCATGTTCACATACAAATTTTTCAGAAATATCCCTCCTGAGAACATTTTTAATTAAAAAAACCAGCCATAATTTCAGATTGACCCGGCCGTCTAAGCAAAATTCAAGATGGCGGCGAAACATGACTACGCGATTGGCATCGACTTGGGCACGAGCAATTCGTGCGTGGGGCTCGTTATCAACGGGCGCGTGGAGATCATAGTAAACGAACAAGGCGATCGCCTAACGCCGTCGATTGTTGCGTTCACTGATTTTTCACCTAATTTTAATATTTGGACTCAGTTATAATGGTCAAAATTTATCACTGAATGGAAAATGGACGGAATTTTTTTAGCTCTTCGAGTCGTAATTCATGGCAAGCCGATGCATAACCGCACCTAGAAGTGATGGAGCGGTGCTGTACATAAAGAAATTTAAAAACGGTAACCAAATGTTAAAAAAATTTGATCCAGGAACAGAAGTTCTCCTCACCAACTAGTTCGAGCGGTGATTCCACAATCCTAATTGAAGTAGAACGAAACTGCATCTGATAGATGGCATCAAATAGATGGGGCGTTCACCCATAATTAGAGGAAGGAGTTAAAAATGAGTGCGTGACTGAGTTATGGAGCGTATTCCATATTTTTAAGTTTTGAAATTTCGCTCTCTTCAAAACTCCTGAGGGCTCAGTTCGATCTACGTAGGTTCAGTTCAGCCACCATAAAAACATAGGTGCTCCACTCTCAATTTTTATTTGGGTACCGCATCGTCAACGTAAGCGGCAATCCCATAATCAGCATCCAATATCTAGAAGAGGAAAAGTTTTTCACCCCCGAAGAAATTTCTTCGATGGTGCTGTCCAAAATGAAAGATATCGCGCAAATATACCTTGGGTGTGACGTTAGGAAAGCGGTTATTGCTGTACCTGCGTACTTTACTGACTCGCAACGACAAGCTACCATTGATGCCGGCACCATTGCGGGTCTCAAGGTACTGAAAATCATCAACGAACCAACCGCTGCCGCCATTGCGTACGGAGAAGACACGATAGCCCCCTACGAGTCGAACATTCTGATCTATGACTTTGGCGGCGGGACTTTCGATGTAGCGGTTCTGAAAATGAAGAAAGGAAACTACGAGGTAATGTCTGTTGAGGGGAATAGCCAGCTTGGGGGAGGGGATATAGACACTCGCGTTGGTAAATTTTTGCTCGATAAATTCAGGGAGAAAACTGGGCTGGATGTTTCAAATGATATAAAAGCTCGAGCAAAAATTATGAAAGCTGCCGAACAGACAAAGATCAATTTGTCAGTTTCTGCGTTAGACAAAGTCCAAATAGAGCGCTTGAGTCAAGGGCAAGATTTCATCTGTCCTACAAGCCGCTGCAAGTTCGAATTACTTTGCGCAGATATTTTTGAAGAAACTATGCAGTGTGTGGACAGAGCGATTACCAATGCCGGGATGACAACCAACGAAATTCACGAAGTGGTCATAGTCGGCGGTTCGAGTTGGATTCCCAAGCTCAGAAAAATGCTGGAAGAAAAATTCCCGAACAAGGAAATCAAATGGACGATCAACCCCGCGGAAGCTGTTGCGTATGGCGCAGCTGTCCAGGCAGCCATGCTCAACAACGACCGAAGTGTTCAAGACATTCAGCTGACAGATGTGACCCCGCTGTCCCTTGGTGTGGATATTATTGGTGATAAAATGAGCACCATCATCAAACGAAACTCACAGATACCGGTCGAATGCACTAGTAATTACACGACTACCTCCGATTATCAAAAAGTCATAACATTCGAAGTTTATGAAGGCGAAAGTGCAGTTGCCTCGAGGAACAATCTGTTGGGGAAGTTCACAGTTGAAGGTATCGAATTGGCCCTGGCTGGAGTACCCTCAGTCGATGTAACTTTTTCCCTAGACAAGAACGGAATATTGAGTGCAACTGGCGTGGACCGGAAGACAGGAGGCCGAGGTCAAGTTAACATCACGGTTAATAAAGGACGCCTCAAAAAAGAGGCCATTGAGAGAATGATTGTAGAAATGCAGAACATGGAAAAGGTTAAGGTTCAAAGCCGTGCTTAGATTAATGCTTCTGCTTCCTTAGTGGCAGCGATCGCATGAAAGGAAGTTTTCTTAAAAGACGAGAATTATTTTGAAAGACAACACCATCTCCGAGAGGTTACGATGTACTGATGAGGCTGTGCGAAGAGGTCGAGGCTTGGTTGGAGGATCACGATTACGCAACCAAGGTGGAGTAAGATGACGAGAGGTTTGTCGAAACCATCTCTCAACTCCTGGCTGACTTCACCATCCAATTACTTTTTTGCAACTTTACAGCAGCACATGAAATGCTAAAGAAGTCCAGCTGATACATTTATCGCTTGGAACCCTGCTTTTTTACCGTGTTCGTTGAGCACTATGCAGTAATTCAATTGTAACCTGTTCTAATAAAGTTGCTTCACAATACTAGATTGTTTCACGCCATTATCGGTCAGATTACTGCTTGTTACGAGTTAGCATCTGTGTTATTTGTTTATTTCTATGAAAGACCAGTTCAATGGCTGTTTATTTTACAATAGCCGTGCAATAGTCGAATAGTCTTGAATCTGCCTAATTTATTTGCAACACACAAATCGTAACTGAAATTTTAAATCGGCATGAGACATTACGACTAGCGGCAATGAACCTCGTCTGCATTCCAGGCAAGCAGGCTCGAGCTTCAGGTTCGATATGATGATGATATGTTGACCAGTAAGGTTGTAGCCGTACTATTCATCCGTCTTCTGATTACCAGGTTCACGCTAGTGACGAGTAGAGTGAGCTTGTTCACTCCCGTTTTTTTCATAGATCTGAGTTTGCGGTTGTAGTGGCCAATAATTCGTATCGGGAGTTTCATTTGCAGCTACCTGTCTTCCACTTCCATTTATTAGCTGCCACTGAGGTACCTTACTCGATCTCTTTCCGATTGGCGGATAAGTGAATTGTACGTCCGAGTGCTTGGAATGAAGTCTTTCTAAGTTTATGCTGCTATAAAGTGCTGCGACCATTAGACCTGAACAGACTCAATGCCAGGGGCTTGGATATAATTTGTCTTACTTCGTGTTGCAATTGGATTAATGATGGCATATTCCCCAATCGAGTTTGCTCGTTGCTTCTGATATTTTAGGTTGAACTCTAAATTTATTTTCTCGTTCATTTTTTGATTATTGCAGTTGAAAGTGGGCACTGTATTTTATCTCTACCCCCAAGTCCCTGGTGCTCGTCTGAATAGGAAAGAATGTAGTCTGGTTTTCCTCATTGGTCTAATGCAACAATAACTGACGCTGGATTTTTGAAGGTGAAGCTGACAGCCCAAACCCCGTCAAGCCTCAACTGTGGGGACAAGCGGATGTGCCGAGGCTGACTTCGTCAGTCATTGCCACTCCAGGCCTCGAGGGTCATATTTTGAATTGAAGAGGACAGGCCGAAGTCGCCAAACACGACCATTTTATTAGTTAAGCAATAGGTTCTTCCTATTATTTGGCCAGTTAATTTATGTTGTAGTAAGTGTGTTATTTACGTGAGTAGGCCGCCTGATGGTCTTAATTTCTAGCTATCCGAAAATACCTTGAAAGTTGAAAATGTTTAAATTAATTTCCCCCTATCGCCCACAAATTTCAGGAGTAGCCAACATATGTACTAAGCTCTCCCGCAACATGGTGATCGTCAGAAACTTTCTCCTATGGAAACGCTATCAGAGTATTCGACGGAAGCACGTCTTTGTTGGCTCATTACTGGAATTCAATTTTCCTAGAGAATGAGTGGATATCGGCAGCCACATCTAACTTTGCCCGAATTTTGGTGGAAGGAAAGTTGCGACATTGTTCTATGTGTTTGTGGCCAGTGTGCCGGGTTCCAATGGCCCTTTGTTACGTGATCTTGGCAGTTCGATTGCTGCAATTTACGTGATACCAATCTAATCATTTGTTTGGAAAATTCAGAAAAAGGGAGCGACGTTATAATTATGTTGGAAATTTCTACAGAATAAAAATTGAATTAAAGTGTCGATGCAACTTGGAATTCAGGCACGACGACGCTGTTTCAGCATTCAACTAATAACGTTGCGGTACTCGCCAGTATATGAAGAAGATTAAGCGAATGAAAAGTATAAACGCTCATTTAATCTGTATTATTCATTAGGCATTGTACTACAATCAGTTTTATCCTGAACATGTTGCTGTATGTTATGAGGATTCCTTGAATCGATATCTATTTCTATCCTGGAAGAAGTTGGCTCTTTAACTTCAGAGGATTGCGACATCGACTTAGCATTCACTTATTAGGTAGAGAGCTTTGCATATACTGCTTCCTATAGCAGTATTATAGTATCTCTACGAAATAGGCTTCTCAGTTCTGGAGTCACTGAAAATAAAATGCAGGTCTCTGCTCAACATTGAGCAAAATTTAGGAGCTTCAGTTTCGGTTTAGCATACAATTTCAGAGTAGGCTCTTGCAAAGCAGGCTCATTGCCGTTACTAATTCAGGGGTAAATGTCCGTGTTTTGATTTTTCACAAATGTGTAGGAAAACGCAATCTTATCATTTGCCTACTGCAATTATTTTAATTACAATGAATTAAAATTGATTGATTCATTTAAAAATTGATTAATTCAATTAAAATTGATTGATTTCAATTCATTTAAATATTTATTTGTACTTAAAGTTGTGCAATAAAGTTGAATGGTAATTTTTTCAATGTTACGTGTTTGCCCATTTCGGACAGGAGAGGCATGAAAATTCTTGCTGCTTCTCAGTGCGGCAAGGACTCGCCTAAAAAGACAATTTAAAACCACTTGCTTTGATGCTGATTTTTACTTAGTACTCATCTTAGTGGCGGTAGTTCGTTTGGTTCAGCTCAAAATTAGTAATAATCTTTTATTACTGTCAGTGGTGAAATGGCGGAGGGACGAGGCAAGGACTCAGCAGGAAACATTACTAATTTTGAACATTCATTATAAAATAATTCAACAACAAATTGTTTAGTTGGAATAACCTGATAGCTTTCGATCCAATTTAAATCTTCAATTAGAATCGTTTGAAACAGGTTGTTTGGAAGCAATATATTAAATACCTACCTGCATTGAATGAATTCGAACACAATAGTAAAGATGTTATCGGAACCGTGGTAATTCTAAAAAACTAACGTGAAAAATAATTGCAACTATCTACGACCCTGAGTGTATTCTTATTATAAAATAGTGATAAAAATATTAATTTCTTGCTTTAATGCATTACAATCTCCGTTGTTTATCTCAAATGTGAATAATTAATATACATCAGTAGAATGGATGTAATTGTCATATACGGGGCGTTTTTTCAGAGTCAGTGACTTTCCAAATTAAGCTACAGCTACGGCCGCGGTGTCATTCATGCGCGCCATGTAGCTACATCTGTTGGGAAGCCACGGAACCATTACGGAACTATCGGATCAAGTCTACATCTGTTTACATGGTTTCAAAATGCCTCCACCTGTCGAAAAGGTTAAATTATAGTTTATATATCTTCTATGGCAACTAATCAGGGATGTTCAAACTTAAATTTCTATACCAATTCTAGCAGAACCTCTGACTTTGTTGCTCACTCATCACTATGTTCAGCATAATGTTCATCACTGAAGAGTTAACTATGTTCACAGTTATGACGTACGAGTGAGCAGACGAGGGAGGAAATTCAACGAGCCACATCGCGCTCTTCGCTCCTCTCTCCTTCAAGGCATAGACTTCAGAAAATCCAGCAACGCGAGAGAAGAAACTTCACCATCATCCAAATACTATTGTGGCTTATCATCCCTACACCATTGTGGCTTATCATCCCTACACCATTGTGGCTTATCGTCCCAACACTATTGTTGCTCATCAGCCAAACACCATTGTGGTTCCTCATCCCAACACTATTGCGGCTCATCATCCAAACACCATTGTTGCTCATCATCTCAACACTATTGTTGTTCACCTCACAACAAAATTGTGATCCATTGCCTATTTATGAAGAATACGTTACTCGGTTACTGCTGCTGCTCCGGAGCGTGGCACCATATATAGCAGCTTTAGAGCATCTTCCTGCCCGGGGAAACTGATGAAGATGGAATTATCTATATGCCTGCGGGTGCCCCTGCTCTGTCAGTGAGTAGTGCCATCATAACTACAAATGTGGAATTAGATCCAGCCGTTGAAATTCTTGGAAGTCAGGTAAATAGTGTCGGGAGTGAAACGCGTGGCTCAAGCAGCAATACGTGAGTAACCGCAATTGAAACAGCTACTATATATACTATTGAAACAGCAATACAAACCAAGGATACTACAGAAACAGTTGGTGAAACAGATATACAAAACAAATTTATGTTGAAACAGCAATTGAAACAGAGATAGTCGCGCGTGACGTTACCGACCATGGCAACGTTCTCTGCTGCTGGTCGAAAAAAATCTCGAGTAGCTCGAACCAAATTGATTCATGTCCTGGCAAGTGGCAAGCAAGACTTTGTACCGTACAGTGAATGTCCTGTAGCTTGAGTGATTACGAAAGTTATGGAATATATAAACTTGGAATGACTGCATCAACAGATCATGCATGGGTAGAATATTCCTATCGTAGCTCCATCAATGAATATTTTTTTATATTCTAAAATGTAACAATGATGTTGCCTGTTCAATTACAGCCTTTGTAGCATCATCTTCCCTGTTACTTCTCTCAAAAATCAGCTTTGTACGATTTCTGGACCTGATCTAATGCTACATCAGGGCGAGCTGATACTGGCGACACATTCTATTGAGGTTGAAGTATTGATAGTATTCTTTATAGAATAATTCACACAAAGTTGCCCTTTGATTTGATTGTACAATTTTCTGGTAGGTTCCATGTACATTACACCTCCTTTACCCAGTAGCTCCAGCCCTCTTTTTTGTACGTCAAGTGTACCTTTTCTTTTAAGGATATCTTGATTTGTTCTAGTATTTTCTTTATATTAACTGTTTATGTTGTTCATGGTTTTGTAGTTGTAAAGTTGTTTTCTATGAACGTAATTACCTTCTTACTCTCCTTTCTACCTTCTGATCGCTATCGTTAACCTCCAACAACTCACCGCGGTGCAGCCTTGTTCGACTGGCGCTTCACATATTCGATTCGATAACAACAAATTTTTTTGGTTTTTACTATTAGTATTCATCTATAAAAAACTTGCTTAATTAAATTTTCAAGACTGGCTTTAAGGACCCAATTATTCAGCGAGATAATTAAAGATAAAGGGTTTAGCTTTGTGAACCCGAATACAGACTGTAATAATTAATGACATATTGTATATGAAGTTAGTTATGATTCTGGACGTGAGTCATGATTCACTTGGTAACTTTACCGGCATTTTATAGATAGAAAATTACCGAGTAA